AAACCCATGCAGTAGAATAGAGTCAGTTCTTGCATACAAATCCCAACAGTTCTCCACAATGACATTTTTGCAGAAAAAAAAAATCTGAAGATTGTGGGAATTGCCACATCGAAGCTGCTCGACCGAATAGCTTCAGCCGTTGCAATACCCGCCAATGTAGTTGTGCTCCGTTGTAGCTTGTGGACTTACCTGTACACGGCCCGCAAGACTACTACTCCGCGTTTTCCAACCGTGGTTCTCAGGACCGTTGGCATGCGCTTCAGCAGCGGCCCAGCTATCGTCGGTTTCATTCTGCTGGAAGCCGCCCCAACGGCATAGCTGTTGCGGGTGTCGCTACTCCGCCACAGCCACGAGACCGCGTGTACTGCGTCAACTTGAGAGAGCAGGCGGTGGATCGCTTTCAGGCTGCGTAGCTGTTCCTCCGTGGCGTTCTTCCTTCCTACTTTGTTTTGGCGGAGGCTGTGAGTTGCGAAACCAAGCGGTGTGTCTCGGGAAGTTGTCCACTGCCCGGACTTTGTGACTAGCACGGTCGATTTCGTGTCCGCTTCGGCGTCAATAAGAAACCGCGCAATCCTGGGAGAGGATGACCCGCAAGCCTCAATAGTACAGACCAGAGGCGTCCTGCCGAACGGGTCGAGAGTGTTGTTCACATACCAAGCACCTCCGCCCGCTTGGTGCTGTAGCAAGAACTTCACCGACTCCTCTCGGCTGTTCTCGGCGGCAACAACGAGGGCTCGGCCGGTGTCTACTACCCCACCGACCGTTAGTATGCCCATGATGTCGACGTCCTGCTCCGTGGTAGCTAGGCGGAGAGATTCCACACCGCCGCTCACGCCGCCACATCCCCGGACCCCGAGCTGGTGGGTCAACTCGCGCACCACCTCCGAGTGCCCGTGCTGCACCGCCACATCCAACGGGACAAAGGTTGCCCCCGATGGAGCCGGCACTGAAGCCAACAGGGTGTTGGCTTTCTTTTGGAGCAGCTCCCTGACCGCGTCCACGTAGCCAACCAGAGCCGCGGAGAAAAGCGGCGTCGCTCCGTCGGACCTGCGGCTGTTGGGATTAGCGCCTGCCTCGAGCAGCACTTTCATCACCCCAGAGTGCCCCCCCTGCGCAGCAACGTGAAGCGGCGTGGAGCCGTCGATGTCCGCGCTCTCCGGGTTGGCACGAGCCTTCACGAGCATCTTCGCGACGGCCTGCTGTCCACTTTGAGCGGAAGCCAGAAGAGCAGTGAAGCCGCCATCACCCACGACTGACACGTTGGCTCCCTTCCCTAGGAGGCTCTTTGTTACGCGGGAAAGGCCTTTCTCTACGGCCAACATGAGAGGAGTCCATCCCTTCGGGTTGCCTTGGTTGATATCGACAGATCCCATAGAAAGGAGAGCGTCGACGCGATCGGCAGACCCGTGGTAAAAAAGGGTTGTTTTATACATTCCAAATTTTTGTTCCAAATTCTTCTCCCTTCTTCCCCTCGCTCCTCGACAAGCTTTTGCTTAGACATGGGTTGTAGTGAAGGGGGGGGTCTTTCTGGCGAGCAGGGCTAGACTCACCCTCAAGGGATGACCGAAACCTTCTTGCTGCTGCGCATATCCGCCGCGAGGCATGCGCGTGGTGGTGTAGTTGGGTCGGCACTGATGGGGTCAGGCGAAAAAATGTAGATGCGCGGGCCTCT